GATGATGATGATGATGATGAAGATGATGATAATGAAGACGAAGAAGAAGATGATGATAATGATGAAGACGATGATGATGATAATGATGAAGACGATGATGATGTTCAAAATGATGATGACATATGAAAATGATGGCATCAATAACGCAGGTGGTGATGGTATCGTTATGATGATGAAATCTGTTTTACTCCGACAAAGGATCAACCTCCAGAACTAATTAACGGTAGCATCTTTAAACTTAAGACACACTGCACGGTGCAACTCCAACCTCCATCGATGTGTCGAGCCACGACACGAAAACGATCCTTCTTCAGCAGCATTGCCTGCAATACAATATGGCAGGTGCCGTGTGTCCACGCCTTTGCAAAGATTTTAACACGGTGTTTAAGTTTCCTTCTTATTTAGTAACAATGATAATGGCGTCAGCATTTGTGCTCCATTCATTAATACAGCACAGCTCTCGACCAATCAGAGAGCACGTTTACTGTCTAAGCTATACAACAAAATAGAATAAAGTTGTTGGCCCGTATGAATGATCACAAAACTACATTGTTTAGTTTCAGCGATGGACAGCAGATGAACAACCCGCTAAAATGTCGTTGGCTGCTGGTCATTTGCACGAGCGCTAGTTCAAACTTTGTCCACAAGTTTCAATTTTTCCTTTTTCGCGGATCTTGTGATCATAGAGTTGTTTTCATAAAACCGTAAGAAAGTATTTTCGTTAGAGTGCATGTAACAGTCAGATCAATACAACAGAAAACAGAAGACTGATGATATATAAGAAGACCACCGTCCAGTCTACTCCATCGCCTGATGACGACCAGCAGTAGCAGTCGAGACGTCGCGGTCCTCCCAACTGGCACAATCGTGAGACAAATAAATTAGTATAATCTTTGAATTATTCCACAATGAATAATCTCTTTCATTCTATGAAAACAAAAGAATTAGAGTGCAATATTGCTAAATAAGCTGAAGTGTATTTCACGGCCGGGTTTATGAAAAGCACGAAATCCATGCAGCCCAACTTTAAATGTGTGCTGTGCTAGCCTATGCAACGAGAGTAAACGGATTCAGTCAAGTAACGAAAATTTAACCATGGGCTTCAGTCCTCCTGCAGTACTCTGAACATCGAAAAAGATGTTCCAAAAGCCTTGTCTTCTTATGGCTGCAAAAATGCCATATTTATTTCAAATAGAAAATGCAGGGAGAAATGGCTCAGTTTTTAGATGGAGTACTCTTTGTTACATTTGCATATATTGCCACTCATCAATAAACGCTTGAGTTGCCCTAAAGTGGTCAAAGTATATCAAATACATTGGTTTCATCATTCTTTCTGAATCACTGCAAAATATGGTGTCCTTCACCCAAGGTAAGAGTTGCCGATTCTGGCCGGTCCTCGCCTTGGTTTTCTTCATAACAACTATAATCATGACAGCCCTGTTTATATGGATGGTGGCTAAACCCAGTCAACAACCCATGACTCTATCTACAAGAAACCCAAGCACCTTCGAGATACCTTGTCCACGACAACCACCTTTACTTGAATTACCAAATCCACTGCCAAAAGCCATCAAGGATTCGCTCACACTCATCGACGACCACCTCAAATCCCTTGCCAAAACTGCCCAAAACAAGTCGGCCATCTCGGTCAATATATTCTATCGTGACAAGGTTATTTGGCGAGGACATTATGGCAGCAARGTTTACARAGGTTCCAAMGCTCCAGACGATGATACGAGATATCGAATTGGAAGCGTGACTAAAATCTTYCCCGTTATACTTTTGTACAAACTCTACCAAGATGGAATGATTACCTCATTAGACGATCCCTTGAGCAAATATGCTCCAAACTTCCATATTAATAATCCCTTCACTGAGACCAACATCACACTCARACAAATCGCCAGYCAAATGTCGGGTATACCGCGCGAGGCGYCRTGTGGTTTCAGCTGCAACAACACTAACTCTAGCGAACAACTTGATTTTCTCAAATCTCAGAACCTTGTGATCGAGCCCTGGACATCTCCTTCTTACAGCAACCTTGGTTATGCGTWACTTGGAAGACTTCTGACTGAAAACCTTCTCAACACAACCTTCGAGGAGTGGGTTGAAAAGCAAATACTCCAGCCACTCGGCATGAAAGACACTGGATTTGAAATAAGCAAGAAAGTCCTGKAGAATATGGCTCTTCCTTACAGTCCTGATGGCAAAGTGCTCCCTTTTATGAACGTGGGATGGGCAGCACCTGCAGGTCAAATGTACTCAACGACTAACGACYTGACGAAGCTAGCAAAGATGTTCACTACAGTTGACGGACAGGGGATATTAAAACGAGAAACCATACACCAKATKCTCTTACCTGATTTCATCRCGCGAGATGGTTTGTGGTTGTGGGGCTCACCGTGGGAGATGCGCTTCGTCAAAGGTTTCCTTGCCCGTCAAAAGGGAGGTAACATCGACAGCTATAATGCTGTGTTCTCGGTCATCCCAGAAATGAAAATGAAATGGGTGTTAGTGTGCTGGTGAATGCTGCATATGTATTCCCAGCACGGTCCATGTCTTGCTTTGTGATCGCAGACTTGATTCACTCGACTGTACTTCCTGCTTTGAACGAGACATTGTTCGAGATGAGACGCCATCAATCTTTTCCCATTGAATCTAAACCGTTCCTCGGAGAGTACTCGGTGACCCAATTCATAAAATCAACAGGAAAGGTATTCAATTCAACGATAACCATCGAGTCTAATATGGACACACTGGTTGTCTCGACCGCAGACTCGACTGAGTCAAATTCAGGATTCGTATTGAAATACATTGGGAAGCCACTGCTGTTGCAAGGTACTTTACTCTCTGCTGTCAACTCGTCATGCCTTTTCCCTCACCTAGGAGTTCTTGGGATGGTCGAATTCARTGCTCCTGGACCTGATGGTCTTTGTGATGGGTTTTCTGCAACTCTTTTCGGTAGTCACTATATTGTTAAGCGAATTAATTCTAGCGACAAGCTACCTGATAGCCTCAAAGAGAAAATATCATTATGGAGAGAAGAAGATATTCTCAGTATTTGACCAGCCTTTCTCAATGGAWTTGGAAGACAAACGATAATCTCACCGTATTCATAATCACTAAAAATAATCAATGAATAATAATATGAATTAAAACAACAATAGCAACAACAACCACAATAATAATGATTATATTATAACTGTTATTAATCTCCCGTTTCGATTGGTTGGAAGCGCGTGCTTTATGAGAGCACACAGCACGCGCGTGCGCTTTCAGTTGCGTCATTTGCTATCTAAAATAACGGTTATTGTAATTGGTATTTTATAGCGGGAAGCAAGCAAGAATACGCTACGCGTCGTGCTTCTCCTAACACTTCTTTCGTGTTCTGCTAACCTCCGCGTGCTTTATAACTGCACACGGCACGTGAGCGTTTTCTATTTCTTCCTGATAAAAATAAACTGAAATAAATGATAATCATAATATACCTTCTTTAACTTGGCGTAATATTCATTTTCCATTTTAGATCCCTTGTTACTCCCTCGAGGTAATTCCCCGCTGCCCTTGGTAAAAAATTAAGTTAATAAGCAAGAAAGTAAATGTATTTCAATAAGCAGAGCTAATGTGCTGTAAGTATAGGTAAACCATATTTACAGAATTATACACTATRATTAGAATAATTAGAATAATAGCATAATTTTATATCAATGCCCTTTAAAGCTATATAATATATGTTTGATAGAATAGTTTGATAACTTTATCTAGCATGGTTATAGTTTTCATGACTCCTTGCATGAATTCCATAAATCGCGCAGACTTTCGGAAAGTCCGCCGCCCGCTGTGCATCTCTACAGCTGGCGCGCGACGGACTTTTCTTGCTTGCTTCCCGCTAGCCTGTGTACAACTGCATCCCAACCTTCCCCCTACGGGAAAAAAAGGGGACGGAGCGACACTCCCTTCCCGTTTTTACCAGGCTAGCCAAATTTAAGCACCAAATATCGGTAAAATRCAGCCAATCACAATGCTCGAGATTCGAGCTGTCAATCACAATGTAAGATTAGACTAATGGCCCGTTTACATAAAGGTGCGGAAATTTATTGCTAGTGCTAAACAGCGCTCTTTTTTTCTTTTGAGAAAAGCAAACAAATGGGTTGTCCAACCTTCATGTCAACGAGGTATTCGTAAAGTTTTATCTTTTCATGAAGATGAATGTATGATGATAAATTGCTCCGGCGTAATAAGGCACGGAAACACGGTGCAACATTGCGCGCAACATTGTAGGCAATGTTCCTGAAGTAGGATAGTTTTCTACCTCATCAACGTTGCGTGCAACAAATTGCGTCGTGTGTCATGGCTCGCAACATCAATTGCATGCAWCTTTGCGCGCAATGTTGCACAGTGTGTCCGTAGTTTAACAGCGACTTCACCAACCAAGGCCACCCAGTTAAATTGTCTTACAAATTAGCCAATCACGATTGCGTATATAAACAATAAAATCTGCAAAAAATTTCACATTTTCCCTTTTAAAAGCATATATTTTGCTTTATACGTGTCTGTATGATCAGGAGTGAAATAGAAACATTTTCAACTCCAGAATTCGTCACCATCCTGTAATTTTAAGTGTCAAAAACGTGATCATGTGAATATGATTTCAAATTTGTTCGGGATGGCTTGGTTAACTGATGTAGTCGCACTGTAATATATGTGGGCCTTTTCGCGTATGTATCTCATATAGTCCCTTTATAAAGCTCATAATCCCCTCTAGCGCTAATTGTTTTGTTTAATATGTTATTCAAAAGTCCTGGTCGATCAAGATTTTAAGTTAGGAGGATGTCAATCTAATATTCCCAGAAATGACATTAAGAAAAGTTAATATACGGGACCAACTGGATCTCTCATAGTTCCGTCCCAGATTCCACGTTTATAGAACTAGTGTTTGTTATTAGCCCTACACACGAAAGGCAACGATTCCATCCCCAGGAATGTTAAAACCATGCGACTTTCCTTTGCTTTTTGGCTGAAAATAGACATCAACTGTAGCACTCAGCATTTGAGACAAACACGTCCCCATATCTCTTCTTCCTTGTAAAACGCTATCGTCTTTGATATAGTACAACGAAACTTGTAATGCAACAGAACGGAGCTCAAGACTTGGGCCTTTTGTTTTCCTTATAGTCACGGAGAAATTCCTCGTCACTCCTGTGATCACGTCAACCTGCGTCGCATTGTAATCGCCACAGAAGATTCCGGCGTTGCCATGGAATGTCCCTTTTGTATTGACTTCAGAAAGGGTCTGGTTAAACACAGGGAGAACATTCCTATAAACTCGGTCCAAAATCTCGTTCATGATTCCTGCTGTCATATTAGCAAGAGAACTGATAAACACATTGAAGCCAAATTCCATCTCGGGCACCACGCTTAGCATTGTCAAGTAGTTATCTATGTTCCCTCCTTTCGTGCGAACCAAGAAATGTTTATGGAATACCATTTCCCATGGTGATCCAACGATAGTCTGGCCATCAGGGGAAATATAAACGGGTGCAAGGATTTCTCGAAGACTACTCTTTTTWAAAAAGTCCTTATTTTTATTTCCTACTAAGAACATCCCAAAGTTTGTCATGTCGTTTATGGTGGAGTACATCTGGCCCGCGGGACTTAACCATCCTATATTCATAAAGGGCATTACCTTCCCCGCTTTATCATRTGAGAATGCCAAGTTCTTTTGGAGATCTTTATTTATGTGGAATCCAGTGTTTTTCAAACCTAAAGGAGTCAGTAATGTGTCCATGGTCCATCGTTCAAATGTAATGTTCATCTTTTCGGTTAATATTCGCCCTAGGAGAGCGTATCCCAAGTTGCTGTAAGATGCAATTGTCCCAGGTTCAACCACAAGGCTCCGGTTCTTGAGTAACATAAGCTGTTCTGCAGTCGTCTCATTGGAAACACACGTCACGCAAGGAGCTTCCCGGGGCAATCCTGACATTTGACTTGCCATTTGACGCAGCGTGATATTTTCGCCGTTAAATGGATTATTAATATGGAAATTTGGCGCGTATTTACTCAATGGATCATCGATTGAGTCTATGAGCCCTTGTTCGAACATTTTGTATAGCATAAGCACTGCAAAAACCTTGGTTATACTTCCAATACGGTATACCGTGTCATCATTGGGTCTTTCTCCACCAATTGTCTTGGTTCCATAATGCCCCGTCCAAAATGTACGATTCTTGTAGAAGAGGTTCGCTGAAATAGCAGGCAAACCATTTGCGTTTACTTGAGATTCCAAGTATGCGTCGAGATCTTTAAGGGCCTTTTGAAGATCCAGAGGTAATGGAGATGGTAACGACAGAAGTAAAGGAATCTTTGGACATAATTTCTTGGCCGGCCAACTTGAGTCGCCGAGACTCGAGTTAGACCCYGAGCCACTAGAAGATTTTGTCACTTCCCAAACAAAAAGAGCCATCATTACCACGGCAAAAATGCAAGCAATTGCAGTTATTAGAAGCAGCATCTTATGCACTCTGTTGGATTTGATGGTACTCGTTTCTGGTACTAGATTCTCCATGCTTACTTTGTTAGTAACAGAGGCCATGACAAAGATCAAGACTTATTAATGCCTAACCAAATAGTACSCGTATAATGTCGCCTTGCGTGTAAAATCCGGGGAAGGCCGGATTGTGTCAGCTTGGACGACTCAGACCCCTCAGTGTCCTAATGTGCTGACGCCGAAAACCCTTGTTATAAATAGCATTTACATCCGACAGGCAAATTAACGTAGCAGCGAAAAGCTGAATAACTGCTGAACGAGAGAAACCATGCTGGGCGGTTTGGGATAACGATAATGGCATGCAAGGACGAATCCTTATGCACACACAAATATYTACATGACAAAACAAATGCAAACACTTGCCAGAACTGAGTAAATATTCTGTAAGATTTAATTTCAGGCATAACAACCGACTTAGCTTGGGTTGCCAAGAGTTTTTGTGTTGCCTTTGATAACATCATTGGGGAACAGGGTGTTTAGCACTGCAAGTTGAAAAGGTCAAACAGATGCTGAGCTCATTCCATTCAATTCAAATTAAAACCATATTTTTATTATTAGACCACTGAAATTCAATAAAAAATTCATCACAGATCTAAGCATTTGACAAGTGTGAATGCACTTATTTCTATAATTGAATAGCTTTCCTTAATTATTTTCATAATAGTTTGTTGACACCATTTTGCGTTGTATGTGAAGCGTCTTATCTTTAGATACGTGACCTGTTCGTTTATAGATCTTTTGACTAAAGCACTCAGGCCATGGACAGACGTGACAACTAGCTATTCTTAGATCCTTCAATTCAATTCAATCAGCTGAAAGCGAAAGATTAATTAAAAATTGAGGAGATTCGAGTTTTAGGTGATATAAACATATCAAGATTTAATTTATTTACAAAGCCATCAATTTTGAAAAAGAAAAACAACRCAAACCACAAACTCACGCTTTCTTAATTAAAAGTTGACCACCGAAAACGAAACCGTTTTTAGCTAATGATTTTCATTTGGAAGAAATTGCTAGAAAGTTCTTTTATTTTGTACGCTTTCAAATGCTTTTTGAGTAAAAACCATTTTAGAGATGAAAAATTGTATTCTTTTTTGTTGGCATTTGAGTCAAATTTATGTCCAAATGGTCTAAAATGGTTTTACATTTTAGGCGGGAAAACGATAGAAGAAAATTAAATTACACGCGTCCGGCCACGAGTCCATTGAACCCATTGAGGTAACTTTATCTTATCGTATCATAGCATCAATCAATTTACCCTTCAATAAAAACACAGAAAATTACAGTAATGAATGTAGTGTCGATCTAAAACCGCTGATGGATTTGTTCAACGATTTTGAATCCTCTTGAATAAAATTAGGTAAAAAATTTAATCGCTTTCTGATGTCATGGACCGGGTCGCACTAGGAAATTTTTGTAGTTCCATTTAACATTTTTCTAGTTTGGGCAAGAAACTTGAAATCTCAATTAATAGATAAGGAATTAGCGTTATCAGTTACTACTATCTGACACTTTGTATTTTTCTCTTTCCTAATGTCGGATAAAGTCACTTAAAGTGAGTTCCACCTTCAATTTTGGATTTAACGAAAATGATTTTTAAGGAACTTTATCCTATTAGACAAAATGGAGCCAGTAGACTTTTGGATGACATCAAGTATATCACTTAGTTTTGCCGGAAAATCCGACGATAAGGATTATTTTGGGCCATATGCATTAAATGCGAGCTGACGTTTAGTGAAATTATGACATGGCCCGACCTTGATAACAATCTCTCTGGATTCATTTTGCTCAACTGGCAAGATTTTGAATTTGACAAGATTTTTCAAAGTTTTGAACTCACGGGGATCGGACTCACTCATCTTTTATAAGCGCTAAATTCTGAATAAAAGAATACTTAGTACATTGTACAAAGCGTTTTTGGACAAGTACTCGCAAATACAGAGCTTGCTTCGAYATGTGTGCAATAAGTCTAAATTTAATGTGAAACTGCGAAGATTTTGCAATTAATTTCTTTACCGTGAAACAAAAAGGTTGGTGGAGTGATTAGTTTGTGGATTAGGGACAATTTTTATCGCCCTTTCTCTGGTTTAAAAACTRCGCTATAACTAGGAAAGTAGGACATTCGGCTGGTATTTGTCTTTCTCAGGAATTCCTTAATTCAGTCCTGGAGTAAGACAGAGCGTCCAAGGCAACAGYTAATGCTTATGAGATTAATACTAAGACCCCACTGAGTCTGCGTGATGAGATGTGTCATCGCAGGTTTCAAAACGCATCCCACATGGAAAGGAATGACAATGAGTATTTAGCCATCAGTGACAGAATCGATGCTTTGGGTCTGCTGGTCATAGCAAGGGGTTAATCATTTATGGTCTAGGGGCCGACTAACCTCTCCCTTAGGCTTCGGCCGAGCTTCCTGATCAGTCTGTAAATCCTCCCGGGATAGCGGTGTCGGGGTCGAAATCTCCGGCGTGGCCGTAAGTCCATACGACGGTTCAGCATTCGATGTCTGGAAGTATGGTCCTGGTTATTTTAATTCAAATATTCAAAACAACCAAAAAATAAAAATCAACGTCCTAACAAACTTTAATGAGCGAATTTGGGAACTGTCCATGCGCTCGATAGGAGTTCATAGAGATTTCATAGGATATTGAGAAAAAAATGAATAAGAAAAGGTCAAATATAGAATGGGCTAGCGCTGTAAGGTACGAGGCCAAGAATCATCATCAGGATTGAAAAGAGTGATAATTACATCCAAACTCGAAGTCTACCGTGCACATTTCAGGATTGCCCCTTATATCATGGATGATAAAAAGAACTCAGTCATTTTATCATCCATGCTCGTATGTCAAGGTGTATGGTGCGGTGAGACGGGTAACTTAAGATTGCGAAACTTGTCCTGAAATATTCATGGTTCCRACTCCCCTTAGTAACCGTTGCTATGTTCCACAAGCTCAACAAATTACCTAGAATATCTTAGATTTAATGCTCTGATCGCGGAAAATGGACTATAAATCGTTTCAATAGTTTACTGTCCTGAGAAAAGAATAGAAAATTGCCTCGTAATCCTTGTAGTACTCTTTAAAGTGCTACTA